AAGGAGTCTTCGTCGAATCATGGCTTATGCTTCTTAGGTTGATAATAACCTAGACTCTCTTTGGCAGACATTTTTATATTCGCATAGATTCCCAAGCTTTATTAACATCCACCTCAGTTTCCAAGTTTTCCAAAACCGCAAACCTACTTGAGATATCAACACAATAGTGCTCTTCACCCTCTACCTCATTTAATTTCTNTAACAAAATTTTCATACGGTACTTCGGGAATTTATCAAATACATGTTCTAGTTCTTCATAGAATCTATCCTTTCTGACATCAATTTTATCTTCTGTTGGGGCGTGAATATTCATAACAATGATATCACACCAGCGACCGTTTAGTATTATATATGATATCCTATCACTAACGAACTCTACCCTCTTAACTGCTGATACGATTCTCTTATGTACCAAAAAACCTGTACCTAATTCATGATTTTCGTTCCCCTTTCCATAGAGAAATGTATAGTCTCCCGCTGGTGCGATGCCACCTCCATCGCATCTGACCTTCTGTACTCCCGCTAATCTAACTTACATAGAGTCGTTTAATAACCAACTAAAAATGAGATAACTGCGAATTCTTAGAGTTAATTTTTAGACCACACCAGCACAGCAGCTATGCAAACATCGGAGTTAGGATATTAATGTCAATCCACAATACTGCAAATGAAAAATGTGAATCTTTGAAATATAGCCCCTTCGATGAGTTACTTGTGTCCCAAGACTGGAAATAAGAAAGTGGCACTGCGCCAAAAGTGACTAATCACTGCACAAGACATTTTTGATGATGAGAAACGGGAATAAATTTGGTATCAAACACATCAATCTGACGATGCAGCCCATCATTGAAAAGATGATGGCAAAATAAAAGAAATTAACATTTATTAGATCTGCCGATTCGACGCACAGCACCAAGTAAGTATGTTGGGCCCACAGGAAACGTGTGGTCCTCTATTTGATCCTGACAGACCTCCGAAAGGATCCTAACTATCAAGTATTCATAAAATAAACTTCTGATTCTAAAAAAAAAAATATTATACATCATTATCATCAACTTGAAGGCATAGGCCTTCAGGCCTGTTTCGGTTTTACCTGTCTTTCAACCTCTTCCTAACCCTTCCCACGTCGCTTCACCCTATTGGTTTACAGCCCAGGATCTATCGGCAATGCAGGATCTTCCATGCCTTGCACATGCTGTAACCAAGTAGTTTTATTTGTTTTTATTTCCTCAGCTCAAATTCTTAACTTATATCATGATTCGAAGCTACATCTAGCCTAGTGCATGCTTTCACAATTAAGAAGCCTCATTTCAGCGGATTCTATACTTTGTGGACTTCTCTTTGTCAATACCCACGGTCCATTCCCATACACCAACGTTAACACCGCCACGATTTTATAAAATTTTAATTGCGTGTCTTCTCTCGCTCGCCACTGTGCCCTTAATGGCTCCACACATTCATTGAATCTCCAAGGTTTATTGCATTTTGCCACCGATTCATGGCATTTGGCTCTGTAGGCCTAAGGCAATGCAGTTCGAAAACCACCGAATATTTGCTATAATATAACAAAGAGGTTCTTGAAAACAATCGAGCGGTTACCCACAAATCTATCCATTTAACAGCGACGCACTAAAAAGTTAATTGCGTTATGAAATAAATTTGTATTTACGTTCACTGAAAAGCTTTGCCCAGTCACAGTGGCCAAGGATAATTCTCGCACCGGGTGTGTTTATGTTGAAGAAAGGGTTCTTGTGAATGTGCTGTAACTCGTATGAAAAGTGGCGTACTGATTTACGTCATCGGTTGGTTTCCCTTTTCTCACAGATGATAAATGTATGAACGCCTGCATCTATAAATAAAACTTTGAATATTCAACAGTACTAAAACTCATGTTTCTGTATGTTACTGGGTTAGGTCACCCACACAAAATGGCTTCAGGCTCGACAGGTAACTAAGGAAATGGCGGACACGACAGAGGAACAGATATACGTTACGTAATTACAGGACGCCTGTTATTTCGAACAGCGTGAGGAACACCAAAATCATTCAACTGTGCAGATCATTTAACCTAGACTATAAGAGAATTAATGACACTAAGTTCTTTATTGAGCCGGTCACGGTAGCCGTGCGGTCTAAGGCATGTACTGTCTTCGCCCGCTCGGAAGTCGGGACCGTGGGTTCGAATCTGTTTCCTGTGAGGTACGGACTGAATTCTTATATATTATTCTTATACACTGCCGGTCACAGTAGCCGCGCGGTCTAAGGCATGTACTGTCTTCGCCCGCTCGGAAGTNCGTGAGGAACACCAAAATCATTCAACTGTGCAGATCATTTAACCTAGACTATAAGAGAATTAATGACACTAAGTTCTTTATTGAGCCGGTCACGGTAGCCGTGCGGTCTAAGGCATGCAATGTCTTCGCTCGCTCGGAAGCCGGGATCGTGGGTTCAAATCCCACTCAGGGCATGGATGTTTGTGTGCGTTTTTCTGTGTTTGTGTACAGGTAGAGGCCTTGCGACGAGCTTATCACCCGCCCAAGGAGTCCTACCGAACGCGTAAGATCAAGAAAAACCGAAGTGAACGGAGAAGTTCATGGAGGTAGGCCTAGGCCCACTGGGGCTGTAGTGCCATGGGGGAAAAAAGTTCTTTATTACGGCAGGGGCCGATACAGTAAAGATCTGACAGGAAAAGAAGCAATGAGTCAATATACCTCACTTGCAGAACTAAAGCCACTGAGACCGAGACAGACACATACCGCTGTTCTTTCCGGAAATAATACACCCGTCTAGAGTTCCTGGAAATTTCTCTTCTTCATGCTAGATTCAACAACATAAAAATAATTAGAAATCTCTGATGGGCGAAGCTTGTCCGCCTGTCAGTGACATTCCTCCACTTCCTATATGTGATGCATATAATAAAACATAATCACAACGAACTTTCGAATGCAATGCAACGGTATAATTCAGGATCACACTCCAAATCGAACTCGCCCTCTTCCCTAATCGCTAATAATATTTCTCAGTCC